TCTCTCTCTCTCTCTCTCTCTCTCTCTCTCTCTCTCTTTCTCTGTCTCTTCCTCGTCTCGCACCACGTTATTCGCGTTTTCGTTCTCCCAACGTCGAACTCGATCTGCATCGCGCCATCGACCGTGCAAGCTCGAAAGCTTCGCGCCGGTTCCGGCCGGCTTTTCCTCTCTCTCTCTCTCNCTCTCTCCCTCTCTCTCTTTCTATCTCTCTGTGCTGCTTGCGGCGATTTCCCGCGTGTGTGCTCAGCGAGATCGAAATCGCTCGCTATATCACGATCGGACAAGATCCGTTGCAACTCAACTGGAATTCCTGTAGATTAAGCGACTTATCGTATACGTGTGTTTTCGTCAATCGTCGAATTTATAAACGTTTTTCAAATCTTTTGAGGATCAGTCATGAGATAAATAAACTCCTTTTTGATTCTTAAGACAAAAATTCTTCAATAAGAATTTTCTCAAACTCAAAATTCATCGTCTGCGCTAAAAAATCTCTAATTCACGTCACGTGTAATGTGTGTAGATTTTCAACATTGTTGAGATAAATTTTGAAACATAATCTTAATATAAAATCTATCTCGCTTTCTTTTCTCTCTCTCTTTCTCATCAGATTTTTGCGAAAGTTTGAGATATTTTTGTATTTTATTATTGATCCGACACATGACCGTATTTTGTTGTTTATTTATACAAAAGTAAAACTTGCAACATTACAGATAATTGTTTTGCTTTCCCGTTGTTTTTTTTTTAAATTGCACAAGTCAGGAACATCGTTGAAAATTTCTCGCGACCATCCGAGTTACCGCGTAAATGTTCTCGCCGTTTTCTAAACGACCGGACGAGGTGTTCCGATGAATTCTCTGGTCCCGCGAGAGCTTGTCCTCGCGAGTGTTGAATATATCCAGTGCGAAGCTCCCCTTTAACCTCCGCCAAGTGGAGAAGGACCAAGTTTACGACTGCGTGCAGCGCTTTTCCTCTTGTCCGCCTGTTGTTCCCAATTGTTGTTCTTACCTAACACCGCATTTTCTTCTCACGGTCGAATAATACGTGCGTATATGTACACTCGCCTCACCTGGTATTTTATTGCAGAAGTTATAAGAGCGGAGGGGCAAATACATTGGTTAAGATAGCACACCGTGCTCGGAGCACGGGGGAATTTCGCTTGAAAAGGGAAACCGATCCGGGACTCGTAACGTTAAATTTTATCGCACTATAAGGCCACTTGTTTTTTATGAGAATAAAAAAGATTTCTTATTACAGTTCTCGTCGCGGAGAGAAGTAAACTTAATAGAACATGTGTAAAAACAATCGAGATAAAAACTACTTTTCTAAACATTTCTTGTGCTCCGAGTATGTTTTCCGCGCGCGTTTAATGCGCAATATATAATGCAGCGGAAGGATAATAACAGAAAGCGAACAAAGTGCGCGTAAACAACAATATTATTTAACAGTGTAAATATAGGAACGCACAGATATAATATAAATGTAAAATGTTTAGTTCGTGATAAACTGTAACATAACACATTGGCGTATAGTTATTTATGCACGTGTAATATTTGCGCACGTGTGTCTCTCTCGGTTTTCATTTAAATCTGATTTTTAAAGAAACATGGAAAATTAATTATTGAGTAATATATACGTGATATTTTGCCGAAACTAAATTTATACAAAACAATTTTCATCGATATCGATAGCGCAAAATATTTTGAAAAAAAACATAGTATTTTGTTTCCGTATCTTTTGTGTGTAAATGTGTTAAATTAAATTTGTAAAAAATACAACTGAGATATTTTCTTGCTTGGTATCGCTTTAACGCGCCGAATAGATATCGCACCTGCAAGTTGAAAATGAACGGAAACTTTAAATTGTATCTGTTACCTTGTTCGTATGAAGTCACGTTCGAGCAGAATAAAAGAAGAAAATAGAGAAAGAGAAAGAGAGACCGGAGGAAAGGCTTCTTTCTGTGCTTGCGCTCCGCATCGATGGTGCTTCCTCTTCCAAATACGGATGATGTGTTAAAGAAGGTCTCGTTAAAGTGATCTTTTACTGAGAGAGAAAGAGAAAGAGAGAAAGAGAGAGAACCAAAAGGAGTTTAAAAGATGACAAAGTGGATGCCGGTGCGCTACGTACGGCTGCAGATTGCTTGACGTAACGACCCTTGCATTTCCATTTATGGCTTCTTATCCTTTAAAAAGCCCGGCGGTAAATGATAGCGAGGAAGTAAAATGTAGAGTTCCTTGAAAGAACAGAGAGAGAGAGAGAGAGAGAGAGAGAGAGGAGGGGGGGAGAGAGGGAAATAAAAGAAAAGCGACTTTTTCTGTGTAGTTTTTGCCCCAACGGCTAATTACGCGCGGAGAATTAGCTCGCGGATCGTTGTAGCCAATAACGGCGTGTCCTATTTGTGAAAGAAGTTTGATTAGAAATCTGACAAGAGACAGAGAGAGAGAATCGCTGAAACTTTCGCGTACTATAAATTACGCGAGATTATCGTTCCACGGATTATCTTTACCAGGACGATTTTCTTCTTCCTTTCACACAAAATTTATCTACAAGATCCGTCGCACATAAAATTGGCATAGCTTGCATACGCGTAACATAAAGACCGTGTCGACCAATGAGCATTCAACATAGTTTTATATTACGCTTTGCAAATCAACGTGGCAACTTTATGCCAAATGCTCATTGGTCCAAGTGTGGTCTTACGTTATGCATACGCAGTTGTGTCAATTTGTGTGCTTCTCATCTCTCGATGCGTAAACGCGTTGATAACGCGTTTACCACGCGTAACTTTCCGAGAACATTTCGCCGGAATGTCTCGTAAGAGATGAAACATTCTCACGTACACAATAAGTCGGAAAAGAGTAATAAAAGTGAGCGAGCGCAAAAAGAGAGATGAGATGCATGTAATGTGTTGCAGGCAAGATCCCGTGTCAAGGGAGAAGGAACGAAATGAGAGAGTATGAGTGAATATTGCTCGCGCGCGCCCAGAAGATCAGACATCACTCAACGTTACGATGTAACTCAAATTTTAGATAATAAACGTATGTGTGCGCGTGTAACTGCGAACAATATGATAACGGATGAATGTACGGAGAATATTAAGAAAAATTACATCGTGTCTGGCGTCCGCGCAATTTGAAGTTTTCAATATCGAGCGATGCAATATTATTTGTTTTGACGTAAAATAATTTGACAAAATAAAAAAAAATAAGGAAATGGCGATAACAAGCTAACACCAGATGTTCGCGTACAATTTTTTTATAATACAAAGATTTTTAAAAAATTT